CTTGCTTTTCCATTGCTGCTCTGTCCAATTATCTGACTAATTTAATTCCCTCCTAGATAAGCTGTTTGAGTTTCTCTTGCAGGCAAGAGAGACGAAATTCTTCCTCCTTCTGCATCATAACCCTCAGAGCAAGTGCTTTAACATTTGCTATTTTGAATTATTATACAAATTGTAGATATAAGCCATAAATATTTATTTCTGATGTATGCAAATTTCTTGCATAAGGAGGCTCCTATTATAAGGGAACAAGTTGCATAAAATATTGAGCTCAAATACTCAATATATTCACGATACAGCAGTTTACTTCATCTTTCCTCCACACGTTTGCCTGTGAACTGCCAGCTGAAAGCCTCGACGTGTTGGCTGCTCTTAGGACATGAAAATGCACATTGGCTTTGACAGGGTGACATCAGAAGGAACAGGCAGAAGGAATTGGAAATTAGTCCTTTTGGAGCTGTTTGCCACGTGCTGGCCACCTGTGCAGGCGGGGGGGGTTGGCTCAGAACATGACCCCAATATTTCCCTTTGGTGCTCTGAGCCTCCTGCTGCGAGGAGCGTGCTGAGACAGAACTGCTCACAGGCATTACCTGCCTGCTCTGGGCTGGTGACGCTGTCCCTGGGCTGGTGACGCTGTCCCTGGGCTGGTGACGCTGTCCCTGGGCTGGTGGCACTGTCCCTGGGCTGGTGACGCTGTCCCTGGGCTGGTGACGCTGTCCCTGGGCTGGTGACACTGTCCTAGGCTGGTGTCCCTGGGCTGGTGGTGCTGTCCTGGGCTGGTGTCCCTGGGCTGGTGTCCCTGGGCTGGTGACGCTGTCCCTGGGCTGGTGACCCTTCCTGGGCACCCAGACATGCAGAGTGCTGGACATGAGCAAGGATGTTTCTCGACAGAACCATAAGGTGATCGTGAGTTCATCCTCCTGCTCAGAAAGGCTCTTCACAGGAGCCTGGGGTTGGTCCTGAGGTGAGGAGGGCTGGGAACTCCAGTGGTCACAGGGGTTGTTCCACAGCCTGTGCAAAGGCCACCCTGGAGCACAGAAAGGCAAAGGTCAGTGTAAAATCATGTCATGGAATGATGGAACAGTCTGGGTTGGAAGGGACCTTGAAGATCATCTCGTTCCCAGCCCTGCTTGCTGAGCCAGGTCAGGAAGGAGAGCTGGCAGAGCTGCTTCACGTGTGACAAGCTGCATTTCTCAGACAGCAGCAGCGTGCAGTCCTGGTGGGAAGGCACAGCTGGGTGTCTGGGTGAAGTTGTTGCTGCCTGAAACTCCCAGAAATGAAGCTGTCCCAGCAAGGGAGCAGTGTTTGCCTTGGGGCTGATTTCAGAGAGGCTGGGGTGCTGCCCAGAGCAGGGGGTGCTGCAGGACCTCCCCTCCCCACATGGGCTGTGCAGAGGCATCAGACACCAGAATGGCTGAGAGCACACTGATATTCCAGACTTTTTACCTCCCACGTTTCCACAAACACGTAACGCAGTGGAAGCTGATTTTCATTGTTATTAAAAAGTGTTTCTCGTTCTTATATTTACACGACATAATGTAGAGAATGAGATGGAATCTTCAGATGACCTGGAAGAGCCTTTTGGGAGATTTATAAACTGTCTACTTCATCTGTAAGAACATTTGTTTTAATTCCCATATAAAAGTGAGATAAATTGGCTTGTAATAACACGAGTCCAAAAATATCTCAAGTTACCACTTTATTTCCATATTGCAAAATAACACAATTCAGTGCATAATTAGAAAGCTGAATTGGAGAAAAGGAGCAGTTGCTCCTGATTAGACTGAAGGCAAAGCTTTAGCGTACAAGAAAGTACTTCTGACTCCTAAAGGGACTTTTCTAAATCTGCAGCTATCAGTTCAGTTATTATATAAACTATAAGTTCAGTTCTCTTGGCTCAGGAGCTGGAAATCTCTCCACTGAGTTAGCAAAGAGTCAGAGGCCTGATCCTGCAGTGCTTTTCTTCCCAGAGAAATCACATTCATGCAAAATATCCATTGATATAATTTGCCCTATAAAAATCTCTGGTTATTAGATGTGTGTGTTCCAGACCAGTCTAATTTTCTCTCAAGGTTTTGAAGGTAATTTTAGTCATTTGCATGAATAAAGCAAGAATCTGGAAAACACAGAAATCTAAAATTCAAATGGAAATCACTTATGTAAAAGAAGTGATAAAATCTGGGTGCTTTTGCATGTGAATGATGTCCTCAGGGTTGGGTTTTCTCCAGTTCCTGCTTCAAAGTCCATGCATTTGTAACAGTGTGGGAAGTCAAAAGCTGTCAAACTTCAGAATGTGCTTGAGAGAGAAGGGGGTGTGAGTGAGGGTGATCCTCCAGCATGACTTTGTGCTTCTGTCATGGGAAATGTGGCTTCAAACCCTTCATGGGACTGAACTTGCCCAGACCAACATCACGTTGTTTTTAGACAGCCTTCATTTCCACTGATAACATTAGAATCCTGGAATGGTTTGGCTTAGAATGGACCTCAAAGCCCATCCCATTCCACCCCCTGCCATGGGCAGGGACACCTTCCACCAGCCCAGGGTGCTCCAAGCCCCGTCCAACCTGGCCTGGGACACTTCCAGGGATCCAGGGGCAGCCACAGCTTCTCTGGGCAACCTGTGCCAGGGCATCCCCACCCTCACAGCCAAGAATTCCTTCCCAATATCCCAAAATGCCCCCTGGCAATGTGAAGCCATTCTCCCTTGCCCTGTCCCTTGTAAATTGTGTCTCTCCATCTTCCTTGGGAGCTCCCTTCAGGCACTGGAAGGTCTGATTAGGTCACCCAAAGCCTTCTCTCCTCCAGGTCAGGTAAGCTCAATCCCAGCTCTCACTCATGTCAAACTCGACAATCTCCCATTAAATCTGCATCTTAATTTCTTAATTTAATCTCGGGTCTGGGAGCTGCCAGGCTCACCAGTCAGCTGTAAAAGGCACGCCTGAGTTATTAGAGTCCCATTGTCAGCTGAATCTGATCCTTTGTACTTGAAGTCACCCATTTGCATTCATCTAAAGCTCTTTCCAGAGTTTATCAGAAGAAGTGAAATAAGAAATGAAATAGTTTCACGTAAACTGCATTTTTATGTCTGACTGGTAAAACCACAAAGCAGAGATAAAACACATAAAACTGAGGCTCTGCATAATAAGCATATCTATTAGTTCCCTTATCTTTGCACAGCTCCCATTTGTCATGAGCAGCATTGTGTGTCACTCAGCCTGCCTTGTTCTACAAACGCTCCTTTCTCCCCTTCCTTTTATCTCCCATCAGCATTTCCAAGGTGGGGACTTGGCTGAGGGCTGCTGCAAAAGACCCCTTTGATTAAATAATCGTTTCACCTTTGACCCCTTCATAGCAGCAAGAAATAAACACTAGCACCCATGTGTGCTGGAGAAAACCATTCCTGGGGCTCTGCTGGTGGCAGCTTTTGCAGCAGCCCGGATCAAGGGGAAAAGGTTGGCTCAACCCGTCCCCAGGGTGAGTCACCTCCCAGTGAGGCCAGTTCCCCACTGGAGCAGCCCATGGAAAACCATCTCAGGTAGCCTGTGGCTGCTCAGGGGCTCAGCACTGGGGCAGGAACTGCCCTGTCAAAATACAGACAAGAAGGTCAGGGGGTGTGGTGGCCCCCTCCCTGTGCCCCCTCCCTGTGCCCCCTGGACAGGACAATCAGCTCCAGTGCAGACCGACCATTTTGGGGCTGTTTGCAGGAGTTTGGTGTGGTGGCTTTAGGAGAGCAGGGGGCAGGGGTGGCCTGTCAGAAGTGGTTCTGGTGGGAAGGGCTTCTCCTTGGGCAGGGCTTTAACCAGGGGATCCCTCTGGCCCAGACGTTGGACTGTGTCCCAGGGTCCTGACTGGGGCAACACTGCTGGCATGGCCAGGGTCATTTCCATCTGATAATCAGCAAAAAAAACTGCAGAAAGCACTTTGATTTCTGCTTCTCAGGAACTGTACAGAGACACATCTGTGCACAGCATGTTCTTGTGTTTCTGAAAGGCTTCCAGGGCAGGCCTTGGTCACTGTAGTAGCAACTGTGCTTGGATACAACTGGCAAGTCTGGAGACACCTGTATTTTAATAAATATGGGCATTTGGAGATACCTGGGCAGAGTCAGCATTTTATGCTGCCATTAGATTTGCTCAGGGAATTTTTCCATCAGAAATTCAGACTGATTAGCAGTGAATAGAGGGGGGAAGAGGAACTAGTGTTCTTAAGAAACCACCCTCAAAGTGTGATGATTTTCCCATCTCCATGGATTTCCTATATGTTTAATTCCTGAAGAGGATCCACAGAGACACTGCTGCCTCTTCAGCTCCCTCACATCTGTATTGTGCTGTCTCTGTGCCTTTTAACTGTGCTGAATCCTCTCAAGTCATGAGGATTGTTCTAGTTTAAGTGAAAAGATACTTTTTTTAAAAGGAGTAAAAAAAGGCTTTTCTACCCCTGTATTTTTTCAGAGTACATTTCTGAATCCCTGTGGTTTTTCTGAATACTCCTTCCACTGAAGCACCTGCTGTCTGACTTAAAAATATGCTATTTTTTCCTATTAAAGAGCATAACTGAACGTCACGAGCACAGAAACCATTGTGTACTCTCTGCAAAGTTATTTCAATTAACTGTAGAGAATTAAAGTACAGGAAAACTGAGAAAATCCCACTTTTTTCAATTTTTTTTTTAAAAGCAAGAAAGTTTTACTAGCTGTGTTGTTCCAGTTCCCCTTTGGTAGCTGGCAGCTGACCCGAGTTTTAATTTAGATCGGAGTTATTTCAGTCCAAATAAACAGGCAGAAGCTGTGCCATAACATACTGTGGGTAAGGACAATGAAGTCTGCAGGATGGAGCCTCAAAGAGGTTGCTGATGGATCAGGCAGGTGATCCGTGCTGGGCCTGGCGGTGGATGCAGGGCCAGGCTCTCAGCTCACACTCCTGGGTTACAGGTTGCTCGTCTGCGGGTGCTGAGTGTCTGGAAGACGCCTGACGAGTAACGGTGTGTCTCGTTGTGTCCCCCAGCTCTACATACAAACCACCACACTCACCATATCCATGAACCTAAGTGCTTCGGTGGCGCTGGGGATGCTCTACATGCCGAAGGTTTACATCATCATCTTCCACCCCGAGCTCAACGTGCAGAAGCGCAAGCGCAGCTTCAAGGCGGTGGTGACGGCGGCCACGATGTCGTCGCGGCTCTCGCACAAGCCCAGCGACCGCCCCAACGGCGAGGCCAAGACCGAGCTGTGCGAGAACGTGGACCCCAACAGTGAGTATGGCACCCCTGGGGGCTGCATGGGGGATGGGGGGGGGGGGTGGGGGCACGGCCTGGCACCTGAGGCAGGGCCTTCATGTTCCTCGGTCGTCTCCATCCCAGATCTTTGAAGTCTCGCGTTTCTTTTGGTTCTTTATTTCCTCCCCGAATTTTTGAGTTGTGCCAGTCGGCAGAGGCCCCTCACAATATGTTTGGTAGCTGAGAGTAACTCCTCCTCCTCCTTCTTTCCCTCCTCTGTGAGTGAGATCAGCAGCACCCTTGGGTACCGAGCCCCTCGGCCTGTGCCCAGCTCACCCTGGCAGGGACAGGTTCCAGGGCAGATGGAGGGACAAGGATCAAACTCACCGATAACTCTGCTAACCTGAGTTATCCTTTGCTTTCTTGCAAAGTTTCTTTGCAAAACTCTCACAGTCCTTGAAGATTCCCATTTAGGGATTTTATCCAGCCCTTAATGCAAATCTTGCCAGCGATTTAAAAGGAAAATAGATGGAAAAGACGCTTCCAGTTTCCCTAATGTGCATAGCAGGGGACTGCGCAGCACGAAATTACAGACTGAGGCCATCAAATCTGATTTGCATTTGAATCTGGAAGGGGCTGAGGAAGGAGACAGCTGCACGACTCTGCAGCACATTGGGAAGGTTTGGGCACGTCTGCAGTTTTTGTGCTCAACAGATCTGGATGTGGGGAAATGCCCTCTCCCTGCCC